ATTTTCAAGAAATGTGACTTTTCTGGCACTTATTTAACAGTTCAGGGTTTAAAGGGTTAACAATGTAGACTAGAAATGTGTCTTTGATCATTTTACTATTAAACAGATTCTAGCTATGAAGACTTAATAAATACTGATACATTTTATGTGAATACTCAGAGCCTAACATGAGTCTTATTTTCATCTGTCCCTGTGGTTTGAGTTTTCTGTTTTTGCCACCTTATTTGATCACTAACACACCAAAGTCAGCTGTCTGCAGAGAGGAATCCTAATGGAAGGAATCTGTATCTTGCTGCTAAGCAGCAGGTCCTGGCTGTTTCCTAGATGCCTGATTTGGCCCTCACAGCTTCATGTCATTATTCTAGATGATGCTAAAATGTCTGGCTGTTGTTCTCATATATGCTCTCTGAAATTCACTCTTTCATACACTAAAAGGGAAAAAAAAGATGAAGCTGGTTTTGTTTAACACGGCTTTGAAGGAAACTGCTGGATTGTGTATCCTGACTTCTTTTCCTCCTTCTTCTGAATGAACATGTTCAGTGTGAAATTGGTAATTACAAAGCTAGATATAAAATAACACACATGGGTGTGAAATGTATTTATCTAAAATGTTATTTCTTTCCGTTCTCCTCCTCTTTAATAATGTTGCTCTAATCCTCCCTGCTTTCTTGTTGCTCTCTTTATTCTCCAACTCCCACCGCTTCTCTGTCATCTCCACAATCCTCTTCATTCATCTCGTGGCTCAGAGTAAAACGTCCCCGCTTATTGCCTTATAATAGACACACATTCATAAAAAGGGCCAGTCTGAATACACACTCGCATTTTACTAATACCCACAAATTGAGATTTGATTACTTACACACACACACACACACACACACACAGCCGAATCCTCCAGCCTCCTTGTGAGGACAAAAATGGGCTGTGTAGTCATGATGCCAATTGTTAATCACATCTCACGTCTGTATTAATGTTTCATTCCTCGACTCATCTCTAGTTTTGCATCATGTGACCAATACAACTTCCTGTCACTCACCTTTACGTACTGATTTTGCAGTTCGCTGAAGCAACAAAGTCGCACGTCCTTGGTTTCTGAATGCTTCACACTACCTCCGCTTTGTCATCGTGCATGCTTGATGAGCAGCTTAATTTCAAGGAATTATTATCCTGTTGTCTCTAAACTGCAGTGACAGCCTCATCACATTTAACCGTGAGTCCTTGAAGGAGCAGTCGGGACAGAGGCAGGGAGCCAGAGTGCATTCTGTCGCAGCCGAGAGAGATGATTTAAAAATGTTGGTTGAAATAATGCACTTCATGATTCACACGGATGCCATCAATGCATGAATAATGTATTCCTGCATTACTAACCCTAACCCCATTAACTTTCTACCTTCGGCACAGCGCCCCCTCTTCTTTCTTGACTCCTAAACTCATCTTCTCTTTTGCTCCTGCTGCTTCTGAGAACAGGGATTTGTTTTGCAAAGTAAGGCAGCATAAAACATTTCACACACTGTACACACAAAAAATTATTCTTGGCTTTTATATAACATGAGACAACAATTTTGATTAAAAGGCAGCCGAAAATATAAAAATCATTAATCATTAAGCAAAACATATTTTGTATAAACCGAATGTATACTAGTCAAGTAAATTTCATTTGGCCGGAGTCGGTTAAAGTTTTACAGTGTACTTATGTAACAAAATTAGACTGAAAATTTGCGTCTAATCAGATTACTTAAAGTCAGCGTTATAAGATTTTATCAACATTTAGGGTATAAATGTTGAAAGGTACAGATGAGTTTTAACGTGGTAGTTAGTCACAGTTTATTGGTGTAGTTGGGTACTTTTTTTTCCCACTGCTGATGGCTGTTTCCCGCTTTATTAATACTAGACAAAGACATTTACAGGTAATTTTTGAGTCTAAAAGCAACTTAAAACACCTCATCAAAACACCAGGGGATCTAAATGTAACGTTAAATCCATAAATTAACATTATTATATTTTAAATTTTTGTCTTATTAAGGGTTTATCTGTTCAAAACTCCCAGCCTGGTGCGTGTTTTCACTAACAAGGTGTATTCATGTAAACCTAATATTTTCACTTACACCCACTCAGTAAACACTGTCTTGTTCAGATTGGTTGGTTTATAAATAAGTAAGTCTGTAAGTCATGTCAGAGTAACTGAACAGAAAATCATGAGAATCCCTCACAGTATACATATGTGTAATTGCACATTAATAATATTACCATATCATGCCTATTCTGTGATAATGACCATCATCTTGATCAGCACAGGTGGGTGTTATTGTTGTGCTACTTTGTACTTTATAAAAATGTAGAGCTGTTAAGTCCTGTTAATCTCTGTCATGGGTGACTTTCCAGAGCAACACCAGGCAATTCACACGCACTGTTTGTGTTACACTTTACTGTTTAACTTTACTGTAAAAGGCACATGCTATTCCAATAATGGGCTCAATTTGAAGCAATATAACAACATACAAAGTAAGTAAGTCTTACAGATGCTTTAATGCTTTAACACAGAATCTATTTAGACATTTGCAGAACAATCCCATGGAAAAGTAAACTCACTTTTTTTCTTGCTTTAAATCAATTAGGTTGAAGCTTAACTAATGTAATAATTTAACTAATTTAATGTTATTTCCAAGTGGACATACTTTATAAACCTTTTAATTTTCTAATTTAAATTTTTACTTGATTTAGGCACGGTCTGTAAAGCCTGTTACTCGAGGCACACTGTGAGACAGATAGGAGGTAAATCTCTGCAAGCATATCAATTTTGTCAACTAAGAGGTTCTCTTGGGAGGATTATGTCAGCTGGACAATAGGGGCAGGATGGACAGTGCTAGAAGCAGTAAGGAGTTGGGAATGTTGAGTGTGAAATTTGGGGTTTTGTAAAGCCTTAAAAAGAAAGGCTTTTTGGGGTTATAGTGCTTTAAATGCTTCTAAAATGCCTGCCACCCACTCCTCCACATCTATGCCCCAGGTAAAGTGTTAAAAAGCGCTATTATCTCATATTTTGTGGCGTACCCAGGCTTAAATGCTCTGCAGACAAGCTGTCCCTGTGGAAATAGACGCTATCCTGCCTTTTAATTGCCCCCTAAATGCTTGTCCAGAGTCTCATACTACCCATAACATCTCTGATTTGAAGCTTTCGATTAATCCCCCCGTAGCTTTGATTTCATGCTCATATTAGTGTTTAGATGGTTGCCATGGGAAACCCAGTGGGGCCGTGTGCCTCTAATGAAAGAAATCACTTGGCTGGGCATGCACTTCACAGCACTGCTGCACTGGCTGGTTCCCTGCATACTTTTAACTCTTTCAGCTTGGCTGGTCCCTCATGGAAATATATCAAACCTGACTGAAACGCGATCGTTTTCTGCATCTCTCATCTTTCTTTCTTTCATTTTCTCCTGCTCCGTTTCCCCTTACAGTAGTGCTTCAGATTTTGCCACTGTGAATGTAAATGGTGAATTATATTAAGCATGGAAAGAGTAAGAGTAAGGCTCATGAATCTGTGGAACACAATCAGTGTCAATGTCGGTCCCACTTCTGTCACAGTCTGCATGCATATTGTCAGGATGATGAAGGATATATCTGCCATAGGTGGTTACTCAGGGCTCTGTTGCAGTGTGTGCTATAGTCTTTGAGTGGAGTAGGCTCTCATACAGATGAGCCTCACAGTTGCAGCCCATTAAGGGATCATCAGTCTGGAGAGCCACTGCTGTTCAGACTCGCTGCGAGCGAATTGAACAAAGTCATCTGACCAGACTCTCTGCTCCAAGGCTGATGCTCATCACAAAAACAGCAATAAAACTGTGAGCACCCAGCAACGATGGCTGCTATTTTTCGCTCACAGAATGTGCAGCACTGTACTGAGGTTACAGCTCTATGGCACTACAGCCAGAGAGCTCACACTTAATTAAAGAGATGATAACTAAAGTGTGTAATTAGCTATTTTCGCACAGTGGGTTCTGAGATCATAAGTAATGTTTGGAGCCGCAATACTGTCATGGCTAAATCATTTGTAGAGCTATGTCATGTTTATAGCTGAAGATAAACAAATCCTGAGCTCATTGTCATTCTGCAGTGAACAGTCTATGGAGTTTATGAGTTGTTCAATTGTAACATATAATATGATCGCTTCTATTCCTGACACTGCCGTACAACCATAAAGCCATGCCATTAAAACCACTGAGAGGTTAAGCGAACTTAATTGATCATTGTGTTGCAATGTAATGTTCTGAAACCTTGGTGCCTTGCATGCTTGTGGATATTATTTACCATTGCTGTCACCACCTTCTAATGGTGGCTGCATTCCCTATCAGGACAACATGGCACATCATACCACAAAACCACACCGGAAGAACAAGAGGAACACAAAAAATAAAGAAAAAATAAAATAAAACAAAGTAGTAACTTGGACTCACTAACTACAGGGATCACAATGGAGTCATGCACAAATGGCATGCTTAAACTTGGTCTATGCATACATAACCCCCATTACTATTGGTGCACCTAGAAATGGTACTTGGAGTGTATTTTTTAAAAATTACAGTGATATTATACAAATTTTTTTTGAAGATTTACCAAAACATAATGTGAAGATGTGTCTGTAGATGGTCTGGTCAATCTATGTTCCAGTCCTCTCCTTTATATGTATATATCTGAACTACCCCTAAAAGAATAACACTGTATAAAAGCAGCAGAAATTAACTTCTTCTGAAGGGCTTAGCCTTCTAGGTAGCATGCAAGTTATTCTGAAGGGGCTAGAGCTGCTACTCTATATTGAATGAAGCCAGGCGAGGTGGTTTTATGTCTAGGATCCCTCCTGTGACAAAGGCAACCGAGGAGGTTGCTTTTGGCTCCCATGTGGTTATCTCTGCTTAGACTGCCGCCCCTGTGATCTGGACCACAATGAAAAGTAGAGGATGGATGGATGGATGGAACCATGGCTACTATGCTTTTTTGTGTGTTTCCAGATTCTTGTTGGAGAGCTGTGCGCCTTCTTCACCAAGGCAGAGGGAACCCAGGAGAAGACCATTGTGACTGCAGACTGCTGCTACTTCAACCCCTTACTGAGACGCATAATACGCTTCTTGGGTGAGCATGCTGTAGTGTCTTCCACAGCCCCCTTTTCAGGCTTTTGAAGTGACACATCTAAATCTTTATAACCATTTTCATATATAAACTGTGGACAGTGTCAGGTCATGATGACCCATTCCTCCAAAATGAGGGAAGCTCGGTGCAGTGTGCAGGTAGCTGGAGTTGTAACAAATACTTGTAATGAATTCTCTTTAGCTGTTGTATTCTGACACTGACTTATTTAGACATCACATAGACTTTGAGCTACTGGGCAATGCTTAGTCATTATCAACAAAGTAATGTATTACTTTTCTTAAAAGTGCATCCGGAAAGTATTCACAGCACTTCACTTGGTCCACATTTTGCGGAGTGTGACCATTAGAAACAAAGGCACCAAGCACTGGGCATGGTGGTGGCAGGATCATGCTGTGGGGATGTTTTTCAGCAGCAGGAACTTTGAGGGTTGAGGGAAAGATGAACATGGAGTGCAGCAATGTACAGAGACGTCCATGATGACACACAGCTCCAGAGCACTCTTGACTTCAGGACTGGGGTGAAGTTTTATTTTCCAACAGGACAACTACCCTAAGCACACAGCCACTGGGTGTATTTTTTCTATTTTTTGCAGTAGTTCTGCAAAGAATAAAATAGGTATGCCATGTTTGTAGCATCATATTCCAAAAGACTTGAGATTGTAATTGCTGTATAATATATTGGAACAAGGCTGTTACATGACACAATGTGGAACAAGTGAAGCATTGTGAGAACATTCTGGATGCACTTTAATCTACTTACTTAATTACTCAGCATTGAAAAACAGCCTAAAGAGACTTTAAAGTGATTTCCACAGATCTACTTGTTCATGTTATGGGCTCGTTCATATATAGGGTATCCACTCAGTGTGCAGATAACTTGTAACACAAGTAATGACTTAAATGTAACCGTAATATAATTACTGAATTTAGTGCAGTAACACATTACTTTGGGATGTACTGGACACAGCACTGCTCGATGGCAGGCTTTAATCTGTTTATTTGTTTTTTTAACATTTGGGCTCTCACTTACAGGCATCCTCAGTCTGTAAATAAGTGCTGCATAAGTGTGTAATTGAATGATGAAAAATAAAAGAGAATAAAAAGTACCATTAAACATTATGAAAGAAATTGCTGAACTGGAAAAACCTGACCTGCTGTTTGTCAGCCACAGCTGGCACATGAAGCTGTTAATTGGATGATCAAATGTGGCATAATGTTTGAGGTAGATTGCTCAGGATCCTGGCAGGAAGGCTCTCGTGAATATTAAGAAGCCTACCAATCTGCATCTTGAGCTGAATCAGCTGAAGAGGAGGATTCTGTTGCAATTTCACACATAATAATGTGTTGGGGCTCTTTGAAGTAGAAGCATTTACTACTTTTATCACCTGGTGACGTGTGTCTCTATCAAAATCTATATTTTATTTTAATAAAAATAAAATATATGCTTGCTTATTAACTTTTCCACAATTTCCCCTTCTCTACACTGTTGTCCTGTCCAGGTGTTTATGCCTTTGGTCTATTCACCACGACCATTTTTGCCAATGCCGGCCAGGTAGTGACAGGAAATCAGACGCCTCACTTCCTGTCTGCCTGCCGACCAAACTACACAGCATTAGGCTGCCAGTCCACGATGCAGTACATCACAGAGCGACGGGCCTGCACAGGCAACCCACTGATTGTCATGTCTGCACGTAAATCCTTCCCATCTAAGGATGCAGCACTTAGCATCTACTCAGCAGTGTACACAGTGGTAGGTTGGACAAAACTGAAGGTGATACTGCTACTGTAAAGATTTAAGACTTAACGGGAGTTTCAGATGTGTTCTAGCAATTGAGGCCCACCTGCTCACTTTACTGTGTTATTTCAGGCCCATGCCAAACGTTCTGTTTTTAGTGAACACCATTGCCACTAGATCTCAGATTAGGATGAAATCAAAGAAGACATATTAAAGAATGCAGTCATTTGAAAAGGAAAGTTACATAGTGTCCTGTGGAAAACGGCAATAAAATGGCTTGTTGAATTGCTTTTAGTATCCATAACTTGAAATAAGTGTCTTCTTTTCTTCTTTAGGACTTTGCTTAAGTTCTTTGAGGTTTGTGGGCACTTATTTATGCACCACTCTCTTATAGTCCCGCTAAAGGTTTTCAGTTGGGTTCATCTATCTATCTATCGATCTATCGATCTATCGATCGATCTATCTATCTATCTCACGTGGCTGCACGGCGCTAACGCGTTAAAGAGCTAACCACGCTAACGCGTTGACGCCTTGCAGCCCCACGCACCAGGCTATCCGCGATAACTCGCTAATGGTGATTTGCCACGTTAATGCAGTTATGGAGTTAACATCATTTTAACGAGATTAACGCTGACAGCACTAATATAAATTTAACCCTTTTACCTTTTACCACTCACATTTAAGCAAAACAAGGATGTATGCAAGTAAACAGACCCTAACAAACACATTTGCAGAAATGCTGCCTTCAGTTAAAAAGGCGCCACCTACCAATTATTTCAACATTTATTAGTTTGTTTCTACCAGTCTGTATCTGTCATTTGTAAACAATCATTACCATGCTGAACAAGAAATAACACTGGCTGTTATTTGATGTAATCAAGTGGATACTTATGCTGATTTCTGCCACCTCAAAAATTTGATTTGTGTTTAGCCTGAACAAAATTTCAGATTATATATTTCCTCCCTTTGTCGAGACAGTTAACAGGTACTTTAACTTTAAAGGTGGCATAATATGCTCACTTTTATCTCAGTATTTTTATTCTTGTAACTTATCCTATGCTATGCCACTTAGTGCAGTTCCTCAGTTCACCTGCTTTATGCTCCATTCCCTTTTAAGCTAACTTTCTTATGATTAGTTCCCCTTATGATTAGTTAAATGCTGTGTTTAATATGACCATCCACTAATGTAGCTGAATATATAATGAGAGAAAGTAAGCTACATAGGTCCACTTTAACCAGCCAATTACAGGAAGAAAATCTCTTGTACGTCTTATTACTTGGTTTAAAATAGTGATGTATCTTATGCGCTTGCATGCTCTTTGTGGCTTTCTGTGTTTGTTGCACCCTACTGTGTGCTCCCTCCCTTATGCTTCTTTGCAGATGTACGTGACACTGGTGTTCAAAACCAAAGGCACGCGGCTCACCAAGCCCACTATCAGCCTCACGCTGCTTTGTCTCGCCATGCTAGTCGGTGTGGTCAGAGTGGCTGAGTACCGCAACCACTGGGCTGATGTCCTGGCGGGATTCTTCACTGGGGGAGCCATCGCTGTGTTTTTGGTGAGGAGAGAATAGAAGGAGCAGGGAGACAGGCAGACAAATAGATTAAAAAAAAAAGACATGTTCTCCGTTTTTTAAGCGCTCCATCTTTGCATGTAAAGACTAGCTTACTTGCCCCAGAGAGCACTGTTAAAACAGTTGTATAATGTCTCATATGGTGATTTATTATCTTTCTTCATAATCTAAAACAATGTGTCTTAGAAAAATTTCCTGTTAGGTGCTTTTAATTATGAAAAAACACAAAAACGGTCATTAATGGGCTACATATCAATCAGATGATTAAGGACCACATTAATATCGCAACAGATTAAATGACATTCGGAAATAGGTTTACATGCAATTTTAATATGCTGCACCACAGTAGCAGAAGTCAAGCAACCATTTTTTAAACCACACCCCTTTTTGTTACTGTTACTATACCTGGCGAGCTTTACATTTTCATGGCATGAGTCATGCTTTGGTTGGTTCTAACTTTCCCACTATAGTATCTGGTTTTGTTTTGACCAGTTGCTTTGGTCCACTATAACAGTTTCCCAATGCAAGTGCCACAATAATAAAAACTCAACTCTCTCAATAACTCAAGACCCTTTTCTTTGCTTAACTGATAAAGAAATACTGAAAAATAACCTTAATCTGATTATGAAATTGCTTTAAGTGAATTTCTAGGTTACTCCTTAAAGTTTGCGATTTTTGTTAGACAAATAACTGTAACATTTAAACAAGGTAATAAAATGTTTTGAATTCATTGAATCAAAGTTAAAAGTCTCAATTTCAATTGTACACGGAGTGTTTCATTTCAAACCTATTATAGTGGCATAGATACTCCAAATTATGAAAAATCATGTAACTGAAAGTTGCAGACCTAACAATAGTTAGCAGTGCCTGATAATGTTTTGCAGTTTACACCCACTCATCATGAGCATGAATGCCATGGTAACTTTGGACTCCTAATTATTTCTTTGAAATATTATTTTTCCAGGTTACTCTTTAATGACTGCAAGAAAAGCAAGAATTGGGTGCAAATGTTTGACTTTATTTTGGATTTTTTCTAATCTAATGTAATGCAATACAACCAGCAGCAAAACAACCCCAGATTATGATGCTACCTCCACCATGCCTGAGGCTTGATGGAGTGTTCTTAGTAGGGGTGGGCGATATAAACGATATACGATAGAAACTAGATAAATTTGGCCAACAATAGAGATTTTGACTATATCGCTCTATCGCGATAGCGCATGTTGATGATGTCATCAAGCTGTGCCTGTTTTGGTCGAAAGCATCGCAGTGGCTGCTACAACAATTATCATCTGCAAATAGAGATTGACAGACCACGTGACTTTCGCGCATTGCATGCCGGTAACTCGTGGCAAAACAATCCAAGTACCGCATCAAATGCAAGCATTTGCAGCACCGCAAAACGTTCATTCTCCGGTTCCAATACCTTCTTGCTTTTTCTTTGCCCCCCGAAAAAGTTATGTACAAAACGAAGGAGAACAATGCCGGACCGTACAAAGACAGACTTGATGAAGAGGCAAAGAAAAGATACGAGGAAAAAATCAAAGGAGTGAAAGGGTTAGACCCTTACGAGCACACAGAGTGGACAAAATACGTTAGCGTGCTGCCCAACTTTCACCACGCTCATATTTATAATTATACGGTTCTTGGAGTGAGTGCATACACTCATGAAGTTCAGTAACTTCAGGTCACTGCAACAAGCCCAGGAACAGTTTAACGACGGATGGGTACAGGACCATGAAATGCACCGTGTAGAACGAAAGACCATCGTACGTATCATAAGTTTACCAGTCTCACAAATCGTCTTCATAAATACACATTCGTTAAC